CACTGTAAGATATCCTGACTGAATCACAGTGACATTTTTTTCAGGTTAGAAAGAAGAAAAAAAACCCTCCTTCTGACAGATGGCCTCGCAACCATATGCTTAGATGTACCATGCCATGGATCGTGAAGGCTGGCAAAGAAATAATGAGGTGACCTGATTTTGATTCTGAGCAGCACTGTACGACTGGATGAGACCACACAGGACCAACACTGAGAGTCAGCATGAGATGAAAGTGATATCTGCCTGGACCAGTATGGTACTGTTAGGACCACTGAATACTGTCTCCCTAGAACAAAGGCTCCCAGACTGTGGTACGCTCACCACTGGAGGTACGCAAAACATCTCAGTGGAGTATGCGGGAGAAATTGTGTAATGGTGGATTTAATTTTCATTATAATAATCATTGACATTTGAGGGATTAAAATATAAAACGTATGCTGGTAGGGATACGTGTGCAGCTGGTAAATCTGGAAGGGGTTTTAATAAGAAAAAGTTTGGGAATTTGGGAATTGCCCTAGAACTCTGGAATTCATAGGAAATTGTAGGAAGACATACAGGAGCTTCCTTCCCCATTTGGAGGAAGAGTTCTTTGCCAATGAAGTCTTTAAAGTGCCCTAGAGCAGGAGACATTTTTTTTCCTGGCCATAACATTTTTTTAAAGCTGGGAGTCAAAGATCAAGTTATGAACACAGGCCTGAAAGAGAGGCCTGCTGGGCAATCAAGTTTAGTCCCTGTATTCAAAAGTGGCCAGTTATCCTAAAGCAATCACAAGAACATGTACTCTAACACCACAACCACAAAGCACCTATTAAACAGCCTTAATGTGCCACAGGTAAAGAACAGGCAACAAGAGTACAACCAACACCTTACCATGGCAGTAGCACAAAATAGTTAGAACTTTCACAGAAATAAGGTATGATCTATGAATTTCCTTATCTAGAGAATAGTCAGGAGGATCTATGAAAGAATTCATTTGGTCCCTTTGGAACTGTGTTCTCTTTCCCTTCCAGATATATGACGACTAAGAATGCTCTGTGGGACAAAAATTTACAAGGCTTTATAGTAACAGGAGACAAAAAACCTAGGTCAAAAGCAGAGTGCTTCCTTGCCTTTTTCGGAGGCAGGTGGGGAATGCAAATGTAAATTGTGATGGCCTGAACTTCATTTTGAACCATATAACTTTGTGGGATACATGGTCTTTGAAGCATTGGTCTCCAGAATATTCACATGCAGCTGATATTCTCAGACAGGTCCAGTGTTTTGAATGTGGAACCCCCCTGAATTAATACCCTCTTTCAGAAAGGGCACTCTTGTAATAATTATAATGTTCAGGCAAGTACAAGGAATTAAAAACTATCCTTGGATTGTGAAAAAGCCTATGGGTCATCTGTCATATAGATGCTGCTTGCTTTCAAAGGAATCTCTGGGACTGCGTATACACATTCAAATAATCTGTAAGAATTGTCCCAGATTTGTTCTCCAGGTAGAAAAACTTACCTGGAGCTATCTAAACAGACATTCAAATGCTGAGCCCCTGAAGAGCAGAGAGCTTTCAGCGATGACACTGCACAGCCAGGAAGGCCCAGTACTCACATCTCAGCATGCCTGGAAATGGCAACAGGGCCCAGGGCAGCCCTAATTGGCTGACAGACTGCTCAGGGTCTCCCTGTCCCATCTCCCTGCAGCACAATGTGGGGATTGTGAAGGAGCATGTTATGTTACTTGCTCAGCTGAAACAGTCCAGTCCAGCAAGCAATAGAGTGCCCTGGACTGGGGAAGTGGGGAAAAGCACCTGGGATGTTGGAGGACTGTCATCGATACTCTCAGAAGAGAATGTGTACACAGATTACCTTCTCCAGGAGAAACTCTCCCAGAAGCCATTTAACCCTGGTTGTTCCTGGGTTATTTTCTATTAAAGTGGCCATTTTTGCTCTGAGAGAAAATCCTGAATATCTGTGGACTCATGGTTTCTACTGGTCCCTTCCCTGCCATCTGCCCAGAGGGGTGCGCACAGTCACTGCTGGTGCAAAGTTCATTTGGGGCTCTGGAGCCCATGGGGCAGCACTAAGGAGGGTTAGGGGGGCTATAGCCACCCCAAAACAGAGCATGTCCCATGCTCTGGCACATGTGCTGGGGGTTGTTGATTCTTGTTTTAGGCTAAAAGAAATATATTGAAATAAAATTAAACCTTTACCCAGCTGAACTCCGTTTCTCAAATACCATGGGAAAGAGAATCTGCATCATCAGTTCTCCATATATGTCAAAACCTTACTTATGGTTTTGGTTTTAATTAAATTATAGCACCTGCAGTTTACTTCTTTCAGCGCATTCATTACTATAGCCACAATCAAAGACTACTATCATTCAAAGGGAGATATCTGAATTCTGATACTGAATATTAACTGAAATCATATTCACAACCTATTTATATTGATACTACTTTGATCAAAGAAAAACCTTTTGTAGCAAGCTTATTGTCTTCTTCAGAGCTCTGATGGTCACCTTGCTTAACTCTACAATGAGTGAAATTTCTAGTATTCTGAACATAAAGGTATTTGCTAAAAGACACTTTCGGCCAATATTGAAGCTTGGATGGGGAAAACTTCTGAGACATGTTAATTGATATTAACAGTAAAGAGAGTCCAGCTTTGGAGTAGGAGTACACAAGCTTTCCTCTACAAGTGCATAGAAAATTGTATTTTTTTTCTTCTGATGGATTGTTAATTTGCAAACAAATGGGTATACAAAATTTTAGAGATAATTCAGTTAAGTTAAAAAAAAATCTGGTTACATTCCAGCCTTAAAAAAAAGACCCATCAGCTTGCCAGTCCCAACTCTCAGCCTTAAAAAGAGTAGTTCTAGTTATTGTTTTTTAAAATAAATTTTTTTTTCCAAGTAGTCCCATATGTGAAAGATTAGGTACAATATCAAAAAATAGACCAAATATCAAGCAAGCAAAAATGGTAAATTCAGGCTGGAATGAAAAACAAGTTCATATTTCACTGGCAGGGAGGGGAGCATCAGCAGCGGATCTCAATCAAAGCCTTCACTGCAGCCTGCCAAAGGCCAAACAATAACAAAGCATATCGTTGTAACTGACTTTCTCTGTCTGGGTGTATTTGTTTCAGCTGGTACCACAAATTATCAGAATAGCTTAGAAGGTTCCCCTTTTGCTGGGTGCTGCACAAACACGAATGTAAAATTCCTACCAATAATACTGTTAACAAATAAGCTTCATATATCCATTAAGGAGAAAAAAAATCAAGTAGCTACAGCTACTCTGAAAATTCAGAACCAGTTCTTTAGCTGTGGTAAAAATCACTTTAAAAAAAAATCCCTTATCTTTAAAAATCACTACATCACTACTGAAACATTTTGGGAGGAAAGCCTCATTATTCACAGGATGCACAGAAACAGATGCCAGAACTATCATGACCTCACTGATTGTACAGTACCAGTCAACAGACAAAGAAACAAACCGTATCATGTTAATTTCAGCTGCTTTAGAAACAAACATTTGGAATTAAGCAAAGATAAAGAAATGGATATTTGTTAAATAAAACTGACAAACTAAGACGAGAAATACTTTCAGAGCTACCAGCAGTTGGATATTACAGCTGTTTTATAAGCTTAAAGAATCATTTATAAATGGTTACTTTTTGATTAATAGGTTTGCATTCTATGCATTATTTTGTCAACTCAAAAGAATACAATAATATTTAGCAGATACAGATGGTATGCGGGAAATTCCTATTTAAAAGTATTGGGGGGAGGGGGCAGAAGAAATCTGTCAAGTTTTCCTATGTCTTTTACATGTAAATTCTTGAAGCAGGACTTCTTTTACTGTGCATAACTCAATGGACTTAATCCTAAAGTATCTAAAACAGTGATGCAACTTCAAAGGGTTAAGGATCAGGCATTTAGCATATAAAAAACAAAAAATGAATTTAGGATTTTTTTAACCAAAATAATGTCTCCCCACCCCCCAAATGAGTGTACAGTGATTAAGGGATTAATGGATTAATCAACAATGTTTTTTAATTACTTGAGGATAGAAACATACCTTGTAGTTCTCATTTTGGCAGATAAGTTTCAAGTATCAAATAATCCAGAAGCATTTTCCAAAGCCCTGCATTTTGTTACACTTAAACAATTTTCATGTAGCAGATTTTAACCTCCAGTACATACCTATATATGCAACCTACCACAGAATTTAACAGATTACTGCCAAAATGGCACATCTGAATCAGAACTATTAGAATTAAGAAACAGGGAAAAGTTCTGTTCTTTTGCTGGGGGAAATGACAAAGCAAGTGCAAGGGTGGCTTGTATTCATAATGAATGTCATAAATAAAGGAAACCATGTTCATAGTTCTTCATAAAATACTTTTTCCTCCTTTTGTTTACAGTCCTGTGAGGTTCCGTTCATTAAAAAACAGGAAGAGAGAGAAAGGCAGGAGCAGTCAAGACCATCTCTATTGTATTTACTTTCAGAAGTTTTACGTGGATTAGAAAGTATTACATGAACAAGTGAGCATTAAGTCTTTTTCAACAGATACAGAAAAACTCACAAAACATGTGAACATTTCCTTGACTGGGTTACCCAGCACCTCATTTCCTTCCTGCATGCCTGTACTTACTGCAAAAAGCTGTTTTAAGTTGACACCCAGCATCAATTCTACACTACGAGTTTAGCCTTTAATATCCCAGAAAGCCTGATAAATTCTTTCCTTGCTTGCATTTAAGAATCAAATACTTTCAAAACAATAACTGGCTTTTCATGCTGAACAGATTATAAACACTGCCAGTAATAACTAAATTCTGAAGACTGACTGCTAGAAATAGAAATTAGTGTAATGATCCCCTTGCATCATAACAAAATCATTCTATACTGAATATAAATGAATTTGCCTCCAAGTAAACTGGGAGGAAGACAAACAATTCAATACAGCAATTTAAAAGATGTTAATTTATTGGGTCCTTATGGGAAAACTGATTACCTCCATCGAGATCCGTCTGTGTATCCGGTTTCTGAGGCAAACACCTGTAGGAGACTGAACTTCATCAGAGGATGTCCCAGAGGCTTGGTCACTTTCACCATCTGATCCCATTTTCAGATTTTCATGTACAATATCTAAGTAAAAAAGTTGATTATTTTTGTAAATAGGTCTCATAAGTAAAGGCATTCTTTATCTTTGTTACACACTGCTTTACATGACAGCCTGAGGCATTAATACAATCCTCATGAGTTAAAAAAGGCAAAAATAAAAGTTAAGATTAACCAATAAAAATACCACATAAACATTCCCATTATTTTTAATTATGCTGCAGTACCTTCACATACTGTGTGTATTCCAAAAACAACAAAATCTCAGTCCCCAAATCTGCATTTTTATAAAATATTTTCCTCCAATGTTTAAACACCTTGAATTCCTTCACTTCCTCGCCTCCTTTTTCTGCTCTTAGAACAGGAAAACTACGTTTGCTAAGGAAACTTGAGAGTTCACAGAAAAATATGAGGGCTACTTAAAATGTCTGATGCCTAGGGCAAAAATTTTCATATGTAGGTACCTAACGTTAGGGACAAAAAACCATATTTAGACAGCTAAAAAACCAGGTGGCCTCATTTTCAGAGATGCTAAAATAGGAAGTTGAGAGAATCAGAACCTCTATTTATGGTGCCTAAATACAGACCTAGGATGAATAAGTAGACTTAGCAGATGACTTGATGTAATTATGTCCTTACTTCTATACCTAAGTGAAACTGATGAACATGGGGAGAGTTGAACTAAACAGTAATTTTGTCTCAAGCTTATGGCTGGATCCATGTAGAAAAGTCTAAAGACCTGGAATTAAGCTTATGGAAATAAAAACCCAAGCTACTTTAACATGCTTACAGTTTGTCTCACAAGTTTTGGCCTGGTGAAAGAAAAGTAGCTTTTTCTTCTTTGAAGGAAGCATTTGGAAATGTTTACTTCATTTTAAAAACTGGAGGCACTTTGCTGTGAGCTAAAGCAGTAAGACAAGATTTTCAGAAATGGGTGATTAAAAGTCAGCCTCATTTACATAATGAGGCACCTAAATAATTGTACATATTTTCTGAACTGATGAGCAAACACTCCAGCTCATTACTCTTCCGCTTTGAGTCTCTAAAAAAAAAATATTCACTACTTGTTGTGCTATTTAATAGCTCTTGTGTTTAAAACTATCCACAAGAAGTTACATGAAAAAATATTTTGGTGGATCTAAAAACTACTGAAAACACTATCTTCAGCATAACTGTTGGTCTCAAAACTTTTAACCGGACAACAGTACATGCAGTTTTTCAACTAATTTATAAAACAAAAGAGCCTTCTGTGAGCAATGGCATCTATGCTGGCAAATATTGCTCTGAAGCTTCTAGTTCTGTAAAAGTTAAGTATAATGACTGCTGTTGTTCACTGGGCTGATTTTGCTTATGTTTGCAGAAGTCTATTTATACAGCCCAGAAGCTGATTTTCTTTTTAAAAAGAAAAGGCACATTTGTTTTGTGAACTCAGTACAATGACTAGTAATTATTTCTTAACTGTAGTTAATTCTTGGAATATTTTAATAGTTATGTCATGATTTTGAGAAATACTGATGCATACAGGAAATGGATCATGTGATCGCAGGTCACGGCTGATAACATGAACCACATTTATGCCTTACTGGCACAAATCTATGCCTCTGAGCATGTAATACACTTAACTAAGACTAGGGACAGGCATTCAAATCTCCAAAATTTGTAGCACTAGAAAACGTGGCAAGACAAGGGAGTGTTCCAGCTGCCTGACAGGAGAGAGAAAAGTTGTCCCAAGGTGCGCTCTCCAGCGAGGTGGCAATAGGGAGCTGCTTCTTCATTACTTCTGTCTCCATGGCAGACAGACTGGTTCCAGCTGATGCCGTCTGGGAATCAGCTGGCAGTAGCTGTGCTGTCTCTGCTGCCTGCCTCTTTCACAGATAAGGACCACCCCCACATATGCAAAGGGTGGGAAGCAAAGCGAGTGCTGCTAGGCCACCCCATGCCTGACTACAGGTCACCCTGGAACCATGTATGGAATGAGGGACCAGCCAGGTCTAAGATGGGTGCATCTGTGGAATATCCTCCAGTCTCTAGAGCCCAGTCCCCCAGAACGTTTAAGCAGCAGCACGGTACCTGCAGGTCTCACTGACAGCTCACTCTGGGTGTGCTATCAGGGAGCCAGAGATCTCACTCCCCCCTTCATGGGATATCAGAGGACTGTGGAATGCTGGGGGTATTCCAGTATTGAGTTAAGCATACCAGTTAACCCCATACTGGGATACCCCCAGCATTCCACCGATTAAAAGTCAGCCTCAAGCTGCTGCCAGAGGAGAGAGATCTTTCAGGTAAGAAGAGCTCGCTCTCTCTCTTTTTTTCTTGTTAACAGAAGAGCCAGTTTTCTGCAAAAAAAATAAAAAAATAAAAAATTTGCTCTCATTTTGTGCCAGGAGAAACCCATTTTACCCAGCACAAAATGTAAAGACTGTCCACAGCCTAAGTCACCTACAAAAAGGGAAAAACATTTCAATAAATATCTAAGAACATGGACAAATGTACCCCTGGAGTATTTTCAAAAGGAGAGGGGGAGCAGCTGTTATACTTTAACTCAGGGGTGAGCAAAATGTGCCCCATGGGCCAGATCCACCAGCTGATTGGATCCAGCCCGCAGGTGGACACCTACCAATTAAGTGCATCAGACTCAGCCCCCGGCTGTATCTGCTGTGCTTGTAATGGGGCTAAGCCCCCCCATGCTCCTGCCCAGGCCAGTGCACTGTGTTCCCATCCTCACCCCTAGGGCGCAGTTTCTCAATCTGTTGTACATATACCCCTGGGGGTATGTGAGACAGGCAGGGGGTACGCAGGTACCCCAATACTCTCTCTCTCTCATCCTCTTTTCCTCTCAAAACTATGGTAAAAAATGTGGTGTGCTGCACATTGGGCGGTGCTTTAAATCCCCCAGTAATAATCTGGCGTACCGTGCTCTGCGCAGCACTGGGTTCAGCCCTCCTAGCTTTGGCCAACATCACCTCTAGCCCAGGTACACACTTGAGTTGTGCATCCCTGGTGTAAAAAGGTGGCAACCCTACTTTCACCAGATCAGACATCTGTTATATCACAGCCTTATATACACAGCCGTTCTTCCAACATATGGCACACATTAGTCTGTAAATATAAAATCCCCTGGAAAACTGAGTGTTGGGGTACTTATTAAAATTTTCAGAAGTTAGGGGGTACTTGCTACTTAAAGCGTTGAGAAATGCTGCCCTAGGGCCCCAGCCGGCATTCACAGTGTCCAGATGGGGCTGCCGCTACCGCAGCTGCAGCCCCAGGGAACTGCTTGGCTCCCTCTCCTTTCAGCAGCTCGTCCTCCTGTCTCTGCTGCAGTGCTGTAGGCAGCAGGTAGGGAGCGGAAGCAGCAGCATTGCTGGGAGAAGGTGGGGGTACTTTGCCTGCAGCTCACTGCCCTCCAGCTACCCATAGAGTTGTTTCCACAGTTGGAGGCAGAAGCGAGCCACTCCTCAGAAGCATGAGAAACGTGGGGCTGGGACCCTTTGCTTTGGTCCCACTCATGCGTGGCTTGGGGGCTGGGGGAGAGGTGTATGGAGGAGTTTGGCTGCCTCACAAAGCAAAAAGGGTTGAGAGCCTGGCACACAGCTACACAAGACACGTGGGTGAGATGGGCACAGCAGCAGCAGCAGGAGCCAGAGTGGGCTCAGCTGAAGCTCTGCTGGGCAGGTGTGGGACAGAAGCCAAGGGAGTGGGCAGCACCAGGCTTGGCTGCCCCCACCCCAACCCCTTTGCAGCATGCTGTGAACCAGGTAGGTAGTGCAGAGACCTTCCTACCCCCTGTCTATGGAGGGGCTCGGCTCAGCCAAATCACAAAAAGCAGGCAGGGAGAAAGCTGGGTGGCTCCTGCCCTAGCGTGCCGGGCTCCAGCCCCCAGCCACCTTCTATACAACTCCACCTCCCTGCCACAATCAGCAGCCTCCTGTGGGTGGATGGATGGATGGAAAGTGGCCCCTCCAGGAAACCACACCCCACCCGCCCCCATCATACCCACACACACCCTACTCCCTGCTATACCCCGTCCAAACATCCCACCCACCACCATACCCACAGCCCAGCACACCCCCCCAACCACACACCCCTACCACCCCAAACAATACAGAAAAGAGTAAGACTGTTTTGAGCTATTATGCAACTACCTTTATATGCACGACTCTAATATACAAATCAGGACAAAAACATTTTTGAAATAAAATTAAAATGTCACAGTAGGTATTTGATTTTCAGTAAATGATTTTTTTTTTAAAATCTATACTTTGTTAAAATGATTTCTTCTGAAAGGTTGTGTGTGTGCAGCCCTCGATTTGATTGGTTTGGCACCTTTCTTGGGGAGCTTCAACGCCCCTCAAAGCCCCACTTGGTTGAGGGTAATGGGACAGGTTGTTAAAGGAGGTCAAAACCCCTCACTACTTGATAGGTTGTGCCTGTGCCTCGTGGCCTGGAGGACAGAATTTAAAATCATAGAAAAGGAGGGTTGGAAGGGACCTCAGGAGGTCATCTAGTCCAAACACCTGCTCAAAGCAGAGCCTCCTTCAACTATATCATCCCAGCCAAGGCTTTGTCTAGCTGGGTCTTAAAAACCTCCAAGGATGGACATCCTACAAGCTCTCTGAGTAACCTGTTCCAGCATTTTACTACCCTCCTAGTAAGAAAGTTCTTCCCCATTATCTAACCTAAACTTCACTTGCTGGGCCCCCAGGGGCAAGCCATACCCCACGAGGGTGGGCCCTGCAGAAGGGCAGTGTTTTCCAGTCAAGGGGTGGACCTTCTGATGTCAGGGACCATCTGATGGGGGCAGGGGATTCTGGGACCAACATGATGGCGAGCAGAGCAAGGTTTGGCATCAGATGGGCGGGCCTTCTTATGTCATGGACCATGTGACAGGGCAGGACTTCTGGTTCCAATGGGGCAATGCCCCCCCCCCCCCCCC